GTGTGTGTGAGTTGGCTGGTGATGAGCAGCACCCATTTGTGCCCCCCGAATTTCCAAAAAACAGGTTTTAGGAACCCATTCAAACAAAAAGCTCTTTTAGATTTTAATTGACTTCTTGATTTTCAGATTCATTATACAAAAAAACCCGAGATATTTCAGATGTCTTGGTTCGAAACAACCAGAGCAAACACTGCAGACCCCAAGTTATCCATTTAAAAAAAAAAAAAAATCAGACAAGACATTATCCCACCCATAATCATTTTTTTTAAAACAAGACAAAAAGAAAACTAGACATGATACAACAGCAACTTTATTTACAAAGATTTCTCAATGTTAAAACAGTATGTACAGTACATACAAAACCACATGAATAAGGGACAAACAGTATCAATGAGGTTACAGTACAGACAGGAGGAGAAAGTCATCTAGAAATTGAAAGTGCTCTGGTTTTCACTGATCTGGAAAGCATAACCGTCATCGGTTGATTCGGGGGCCACACACTGCACAACCTCCTCCTTTGAAAAGAAGAAATCAGATAGTCAGAGCACATCCCACACACAGGAGTATTTAACCCTTCCAAATCACAATCGCCGGTGCACCTACCTCATCGGAAAAGTACTTCTCAATCAGGTTCAGGGCAGCTTTGTAGACCATCTCGTTCTCGTGAGACTGCAGCTCCTCGATCTTATCCAGCCCTCCGCATTCCTCAATCATCAAACTCAGCTTGTCCGACTCCCCAATCTTATCACCAGCCTGATAAAGGGACAGAAATATATCGCTGCCATCAGGCTGAGGATGATCCAGACCCATCAGGTTAGACTTCAGACATTTTTTTTTTTTAAACTCACCAAAAAGATGTTGGTGATTGCATCCAAGATGACCAGGACAGTTTTGCTGTCCTTGGAGGCCAGCAGACCCAGAAGAGGCACAAGGATATTGGCCTGCACAAGGTAGACCACCTGCTGAACGGTGCCCCCACTGGTGTAGTTTGTAACTGCCCAGACAGCCTCTTTCTGAGTTTTGTAGTCACCCTGCAACAAAAGGAGAAGGGGTGTAAATATTCACAAGCAACAAGAGGAATTCTCACATTATCAATGACGTAGTAAGACTGTTAAAAACCTAAAAGATTTCAAGCTGGCATTCGTGTATCAAAAACCTACCCGGGCGAGTATGTCGACCAAGTGCGGAACCAGGCCTGCGTCGATGACAGCCTGGATCTGAGAGTCCTTCCCCGCCGTGATGTTGGACAGAGTCCAGGCTGCCTCCTTCTGAATGTTGGCCTTTTTGTGGCGCAGCAGTCGGGGGAACATGGACAGGGCCCCGGCGTCCAGCACGGCCTGGGTCTGCTCGTCTGTGCCGGTCACAATGTTGCCGATGGCCCGCAGCGCCGGGGTCTGGAGGAGGAGGAGTCACAATCCAACTTAAGTTAAGCGAGATGGAGGGCCCACATCCAGGAGCACCCCTCTGATGTGCATACTACACACACACACACACACACAAGTTTGTGCACGTACCACGATGGGCAGCTCCTCAAAGCCGAGCAGCTTGACCAGTCGCGGGATCAAACCGGTCTGGACCACCACCTCAATGCGGTCGTTGGGGCCGTCCGTGAGGTAAGACACAGCCCAGCAGGCGTCGGCCAACACCTCCACGTCGTCGTGGTGAAGGAGGCGAATGAGCGCGGGCAGCATCTGCTGGATGGCGGTCATCGGAGGGGAGGGGTTCTTGTTACGGCAGAGGTTGGACAGGGTCCATGTCACGTTTCTCAGATAGCCGGGCTGCAAATAAAACAGAGAGATAAGGTCAGGTGCCTTTCCAGGAAGGGTTGAATTAGGGCGCCCCCTAGAGGAGGAGACGTTTTAAGACTTGACCACAAGGACTATCCCTTACACTAAAAGCAGTCAGATCTGGGAGTGCCAGCAGACTGAGAAGAGGGGCCACAGCTCCATGTTTGATAACTTTGTCTCTGAGAGCTGAGCCATCACCTAAAAAGAGAAAAAACAAATAGATTAAAAACTTAAATGAGCTTTCCTACAGGCATAAATGACTAAAAATAAATTAATATATCTCAAATACCAGCAATGTTTCCAAGGGCCCAGATTGCCTGTTCACTGATGTGCTGGTGAGGAGATAAGACCAGCTCGATAAAAGCTGGAACAGCACCGCCCGCCACAACCGCCGCCGTCTGATCGGACGTCCCGGAGGCAATGTTTGTCAGAGCCCAGGACGCCTCGAACTGGATCGGCGGGCAGTCCGCCCATCCCAGGAAGGACACAAACTTGGGGATCAGGCCAGCACCGATGAGTTGGTCAATGGGGGGGTGTTTGTCCCGAGACAGCAGCTTCCTGCAATAAAAAGACAGCAGAGCAAAGTCAGCTTGGCCAATAATTATCTCACTCAAATTAAAACCGAGCAGCATTTTCTAAAAAAAAAAAAAAAAAAAAAAAAAAAAGAGCTTTTCCATTACCTTGCGGCCTGCGTGGCCTGGAGCTGGGACTCCTGGTTACCGCTGGTCACTCCTGCAACAATCTCCTCCACTGTCCACTGACGCATAGCCTGCAGACAGTCAGGGACGGTTCAGAAACATTTTGTGGTCAACATAAGAGGAATTATACAGAATCAAAGTCAAACAGCAAGCAAGGCATGGTCAAACTCAAATTTCTTACTTTTGCATCATTTGAAATAAACCAAACAGGTGCACATATCAAAGCTAACCTGGGAATTCTGGTTTCTCTCTTGGAGAGGGGAAGTGGCCTCGTCGGGCGACAGATCCACGTTTCTCCTTTTGAAAATCTGGTCATCTTTCTTCGCCTTCCGGAGCTCGACGTTAACCTCCACGCGCCTGCGTCGGAGCTCCTGCCATTCAGACGGCACGCGACACACGGTCACAAATCTACAGCTTTGCGGTTATCGAATTCAGACGTAGCAAACACTCAAAACTAGACTCACATGGTTGTCTTTGCCTTTGTTCTTGAACTTGTTCAGGCGGGCGACGTTCTCGGACATTTTCAAGAAGTGCTGGAGCTGGACAACAGTGGAAACTTAAAAAGGAATTTCCTGCAAGCACAAGGCAAAACGTTTAAACGTCAAGCGGTATTCCTCGAGCGGCCTCGTGATTCTGTTGAAGGAGTTTACGACAAAAAACGACCAAAGCGGACGCTCCCTGATATTAAAACTACATTTTTTATACGTCGGACTTTAAATTGAATGGCTAAAAAAAGGACTAGTATATGTTCAAAAAGCTAGAAATCTTCAAATGACAGCATGTTCTTAAATAAGCAGCACACGGACACTTACTTCAACCTCGAGCAGGGATTGTGATTCACGGAAAATGCCACACAGACCTTTAAATTCGTACAACAAACTCTTCTGATTGGGTTGTTCGAGCAAAAGCAACCGGCCGACTCCGTTCATTGGGCTGTTTGAAAAAAATCACGGAGCACACAGGAAATGGCGTCACAAAACGAAGCTATCGCGAGATCTGAAAACTAAAGCATGTTTGATCTCATTGGTCGGACCCCCGGTCAGGTTTTTTCGACTTTTGTATCGGTCTAAGACATTAGAACCGTTTCCGAGTCTGTGAGGTCGACCTCTAACTGGGAAGTCATTAAAAGGCACACTTTGTATCCTTACGCCGTTAAATACAACTGTAAAATATAAACTGCAAAATTCTGTTTTTCTCTCTTAGTTTCAACAGTTAACATGGGAGTTTCATCTCAACTGTTTTTATTTTAGATACTTTTTAAATTATTCAAACACTTTATTTAAAAAACTTCCAAACTTCAAACCAAAAAGAAAAAGAAGCCTTTTCCTTGTTAAAAATAAGAGTTTTGGCTGTGAAAATACACAAGGAAGTAACCATTTAAGTTTTATTAGGTTCCATATACACCAATATTTCTTCAGTTGTAATAAAAAAAAGAAAAAAAATGTCCAAAACTGATGAATTTTTACAAACAGGGTAGAAACCCTCAAATACATTGTTTAATCTTTCTCAGTCAGCCACTACTGCAAAGCATGTGATTTACAATAGCTTATTACTGTATTAAGTTAGGTATATAGAAGTTAAACCAAGTAGACTACTGATGTCCAAATATTAAAGTACTTCAGACTGTCTTTCATGCCACTTTTCAGATTAAACAATGGGTGGAATCTGGATGAAAAACATTGTTCCACGATGAAATCTGAATTCAGACACAAAACTCTTCATACACGATGCTCAGTAAAACTCAGCCATTGTACATCTGCGTTCATTTTCCTACGTTAGTGGACACGGTGACCACAAGAATGGCCTCGAATTTTTTTTAACCAGGTAAGAAAAAAACTAAACAAAGAAACTAAACAAACAAAAAGGAAAACAGAATTAAAAAAAAAAAAGTTTATGGAAATATGAGAGCTCCTTAAAGAGTTTTTCTCCGAGGTAAATTTTCTTCTGAAATGCCTCAGTTGTTCTTGCTCCACTGTACAGATGGGCCCACTGATGAGCACAGGTCCAGCAAGGTCCCCTTACGGCTGAAATGGGCAGACAGAGGGCAGTTCTGCTCTGGTTGCCCCTGCCGGCCTCCCCCCACCCTTTGTAGCATGGTGGAGCATCAGAGTCACAGTTTCAGAAAAGCCATTTTCTTGGCAAGTGCATTTTGTTTGCGCAATGTGCGATGCTTTTTAAGAGGCTGTAGAAGACTGAAGCTTGTTGTTATGAGACCTATGGGAATGTGGAGAGAAGGGAAGAGTTGAGAACTCTCCACATTTTTGTTCATCCCTGCGCATCTCAATGATGATTTCACAGACAGGATGCAAAATGGTCAGCACAGAATCCTGCGGCCATGCCGGTTTACATGAACTGGGAATGCCTTTATTAGTGAAGAAACCCTCCACACCTACAAACAGACTACTTTTTGAAGCAAGGAAATGGGGGGGGGATTCTCCACTCCTTTTGGTACATTGTCGACTCATAAAAATCTCATCTAAACTGATCCGTTTCATGATTCTTTTTAAAAAAAACAGTCAAATACAGGCAGATGTAGGTCACAGCTACTGTACATGATAAAAGTATGTGCATTCAAGACAAGAACATCCAGGTGAAATCAAACTGAGGGAGAGGTAACGTACAAAACGTCTCATAAATATATCTCTATAATAAAAAATATGCACCTTTATATATTTTAGTCCACATTCTCAACATATCCAATCAAACTCAGATCTTCAACGGAAATAAATACGTCTAAATTAAAATGCAGCTAAAATCCTACTGAACGTGACCTAGCTGGTGTGACTGATTGCTCATAAAGGCCCAGTTTTATCCTGATTCGGGATGAGAAGACAGTGACGGTGATTTCCACACGGCAGCCATTTTTGCTATCATTATTATCAACTGTGATCAACAGCTGCCTCCTGCAAACTTAAAAGGAAAAACAAAAGCACATTTATTTGGTGTTTGGATGCGTTTTTTTTTTTTTGTGTCTGTTCTTGTTTTGGAAACAAAGAAATTCATGTGACTATTACTAGAGACCCCCGGCATCCAGTCCAGACTCCAGCTAGACTGGCCCCCTTAAGAATCTGACAATCTGTAAGAAAGAAGAACATGGGATGGCTTAAATAAAAGGCGTGATGCAAAGGCGAACAAACACAAATGCAAGATGATGCACAAAATGCAGACGCAACATGACAGCTCTGTGCTTTCTGAGGACAGCCAAGCAGTGGTTTAAAGAAACTAAACAAAACACACTTTAATCTACAAGTAAAGCACTTTCAACTGCAAAATACATGCTGTATGACATACATGCTGCAGGCACAAAAGGAAATGACAAGTTAAGGGCAGCTCGAAATGCGAAAATTAACTACTGAAACTGCCATGAGACTTATTGAATGAGCCGGTGAAGCCAATCAGGCCTCAGAGGGGATGGAGGGGAGGACCTTTAGTACCTGGACTGTGCGGCGGCCAGCGCCACTTTCCCTTACCTGCTTGCTTTGAAGCCTTTCAGCTTCTGTACAAAGAAGGCTTCAAGGACCTCCGCACACTGAAAGAAGGGCGTGTCGTTGGGGTTGTAGTAGCGGCAGTTGTCGAAGATTTTGGTCACGTCTGCCACAAATTCGGTGAGCTTCTGGTAATGTCGCTTTTGCAAACGGGTCTCCATGGTGGAAAAGTCTAAAGGGACGGAGGAGCATGAAGCATGAGAGGAAATTCCAGGTACTATCACTCACACTGCTCAAACATCATAAATGAACTTAAATAACTAAAGCCTTGCTCTGCTAAAGAAGACATAAGAATGATCTCACGCAAGCCCAGTTGGTGTAAGATGGGATGGTGGGGGGGGGGGGGGGGGGGGGGGGGGGGTGGCTTGCTTTACTTTTCAGAGGAAGAGTCTAAAGCAGTTTAATTTTGGTCTCACCCATCGGCTCTTTGATCACGCGGTAGTAGTCTGGTGCGTCATGGGGATCCACAGGTTCCAGGAAAGGCCAGGCCATTTTGTGGGACTGAAACCACAAAAAATAAGAACCGTTAAGTCTGAAATGTAGTGGCTTCATTTGTCCAGAGGCACGGTATAATTTAAACTTCCTCTTCCACGATTCTACAGTAACTTCTCTAATCTGACCTCTGTTCTCCGAATGAACACGAGGAGTACTAACAGTATTTACAATAGGTATTTCTAATGCAGTCACCCGCGTACCTGTAACGATCTTAATATCCTTTTTAACCCTTCGTAGTCCTTGTCGGTGAGCGGGGACAGGACCGTCATGGCGTCTTCGGTGGACTGGCACTGCGGGCACACGTACACGTCGATGTGGTTGGCCTCGCTCTGCAGGATGCCCACGCAGCGCCCGTGGTACCAGTTCTGGCAGCGATCGCAGCCGATGTAAAACCTGCGGGGGACAGGGAGCGCCACGGCCGGTTAGTGCCAGCGCGGCCACCCCTGCGGTGGAGGCAGAGGGTCTTCGCCAGGGCCCTACTGTGATTCGTCGTAGGGCGTCCGGCAGATGCAGTACAGCTCCTCGCTGCTGCCCCCGTCCTGCCCGCGCTTGCAGTCGTTGCACACAAAGTCCTCCAGCTTCTTGGCCTCCTTCTCCGTGATGCCCACGCACGCCCCGTGGAACCAGTTGGAGCACAGGTCGCACCCGATGTAAAACCTGCCCGGGAAAACGAGAGAGAAAGAAATTAACAAAGCTAATAGCAAAGCTGAAGATTTCTGACACCCGAGGCCTAAGTTTGTGGCGTACTTTGACTCGTCGTAGGGCGTTTTGCAGATACAGTACAATTTGGTGTCCTTTTTGTGATCCTTTGAGGTAGAAAAGAGTTTTCTTTTCTTCTTCTTGTGTTTCAACGAGCTGGAGTCCCCTTCCCTGTCCCGGTCCCGATCTTTGTCCTTCTCCCGCTCTCGGTCCCGGTAGCGTTCCCGCTCTCTGTCCCGCTCTCGGTCCTTTTCTCTGTGCCGGTCCTTGTCCTTCTCCTTGTCCTTCTCCTTGTCCCTGTCGCGTTTCTTGCTCTTGTCGTGGTGCCGGTCTCGGTCCCGGTTTTTGTCCGCGTCCCTCTCCTCTTCTTTCTTGCGTTTGTGGGCCGAGGGGGCCGTGGGGACTGTGTGGGTGCTGTGGGGGGAATGTGTGGAGTGAGGGGGCTGGGACGAGTGGGCCGACGCCGCCTTGACCGTCGCGGCGGCGGCCTGGGCGATGGCAGCACGGGCCTTTTCCTTTTCCCTCTGAAGCCTGGCTAGATCCCGCCTCAGCTCCTCCTGGGAACAACACAGCGCAGGTGGTGGTTTTTACATCTAATTTAGCCCGCCGAGTCGGGACATATGCCAAACGTTTGTTCCCCAGTCTAACCTGTACTTGAAGCTGCAGCTCCTTGTCCAGCAGGGCCCTCTTTTTTAAGATCTCAGCCTTCAGCTGCTCCTTATGCTTGTACAGCAGAGCCGTCAGCTTGGTGGCGTTCTGCTTGGAGCGTTTCTGCTCCACCACCTCCTCCTTCTTCCTCTTTTTGGCCGCCTGCTTCTCGTCCTTCTCGATCTTATCCAGGATGAACTTCATCACCTGGTTGCACACAATCATTCTGTAGAGAGAAACAACAACCAAAAAAAGCTGGTTAGCGGCACATCAAAGACGGCTGGTGTGAAACGGATCTGCAGTTGCCGAGACGACGACCTCTGGTTCCCCTCTCGCTCGGCGGCGGCCAGGCTCTTCTTCTGTTTCAGCTGTTCGGCTGAAGCGTTCTGCTTCGCCACCACCTGAAAGAAGTTTCACCGTTTTCAGTTTCACACATCAGACGTCTCCACACTTCACGCCGAGCGGCTGGACTCAAATTCAAGTCTCACCTGCTTCAGGATGCCGTCCTTGGGACTGACCACTTGTGTGTTCTGCTCCTTCTGTTCCCTTTTAGCCTCCAGATGCTTCTTCTTCTTTGGTTGCTGCTGCTGCTGCTGCTGTTGTTGTAGCTGCTGCTGATGGTGTTGCAGCCTCTGTATCTGCTCCTGAACGCTGGACGGGGCCTGTATGGTCACCATGTTCTGCAGCTGGTGGGTCTGAATTTGCCCCCCTGGCTGCTGGATCTGGATAGGCAGCTGCAGTTTGATCTGCTGGGGAACTGCCCCGCCCTGCTGCTGGGCCTGGATCTGGGCTTGGATCTGGGCGGCCACATGGGGCGGCAGGGCTGAGAGCAGCTGAACCGGCTGCTGGAGGCCGGGAACGGTGATGAGTTGATGCCTGATTGGGGACTGGACCTGAAGCTGAGGCTGTGTTTGAACTTGAGATGTGGTCTGAGGCTGGAACTGGACTTGGAGCTTGGCCTGGACTTGGCCGTGCGCTTGGACCTGAAGCTGCTGTGGGACTTGGGCCTGCTGGGGTGACTGAACAGAGAACTGGGGCTGGGCTTGGACTTGAGCTTGAACGTGAACCTGCGGTTGTGGCGAGGCCTGAGCTTGGATCTGGTTCTGCTGCTGGAGCTGGACCTGAATCTGCGCCTGTGGCTGAAGCTGACTTTGGGCCTGAGACTGGACCTGAGGCTGCGTTTGAGGTTGTGTTGGAAAAGACGCCTGTACCTGGGGTTGGTACTGAGGTTGGATCCGTGGCTGGAGCTGGGCTTGGGCTGAGGATTGGAGCTGGGGCAAGCTTTTGGTTTGGGACTGGAACTGCACCTGAGGTTGAATCGGAGTAAAGGGCTGCGCTTGGCCTTGAGGTGGTTGTTGGGTTTGCGGCTGAATTTGTGCCCGCGGCTGAAGCTGGACCTGAACCTGGGGCTGAATTTGAGCTTGCGGCTGGAGATGCGCTTGAGGCTGAATGTGGACTTGCTGGGCTTGACCGGAGGGCTGGACCTGGAACTGTGCACAAATTTGGGCTTGTGCCTGGGGGTGATGCTGATTGTGGGTCTGGGGCTGGAGCTGAGGCTGCGTGGGTATCACTGCCGACACCACAGGGGAAACCGGTAACCCCTTCATGTGAACCTGCATCGCTGAGATGGGCATGTGCGACACCTGCTGCACGGACACAACGGCCGGTTGATGAACTTGTGCTTGAGACTGAGGAGTCAGGGATGCCTGAGGCGAGAGAGTGATGGGGGAATGTGTGGCAACAGATACGGGGGGAGAGGCAGGTATGGAAGGCAAGGCAGGTGGTGTAACTGGAGTGGTGACCTGCTGAGCTGTCTGAACCGAAGTCTGAGCTTGGGATGATGCTGGAATCCAAACTTGGGGCGGGGCCGCCCGCTGCTCTATCAATGCTACGACAGAAGAGAAGAAGTCAGGAGAAGTGATTGATTAAAAAAGGCACTAGGCGTGAAAGTGAATGCAACCCGATTACGAAGGCCTTAGAAGTGGTGATTTACCTGGCACTGAGGGTGTTGTGGAGGTGGCTGTGACAGGTGTGACCACAGCGCTGGCCACGGCGGCATGAAGAGGAGCGGGAGCTGCTGCGGGGATTTGGGTCAGGGCTTTAGCTGCAGGCGGGACGGCAATTTGGGTGGAAGCGACGGCCATGATGGGGGCGAGGGCCGGGGTTGGAGCTCTGACGGGGGAAGGCAAAGAGGCAGAAATAGGCATGTGGGTTGAGCTGATGGCCGCTGCTGTGGCAGTGGCCTGGCCGGCAAACCTGACCGACGCCGGGGTCACAGCAGGAGAAGCGGCGGGGACTTGAATCTGGACAGGGGTGGAGGTCAAACCTTGGGTCAGGCTGAGGGACTGTGGCGGGATTTGGGGCTGGGGGACGGCCTGTGGTGGGACAGGGAGCGCACATGTCGGCTGGGAATGTGCGGGTGTAAAGGTGGAGGCCGGTGTTTGAGCGATGGCTTGGGTTTGATGATGAATCAGAGCCGGGGTTGCACTCTGTGCCGAGGCGGTGACGGGTCTCGGCGCCGATGGTGGCGCGGGGGTCAAAGCCTGTTGGGCAGGCTGCGAAGAAGCCGGCACCGGAATGGACAGCTGAGACTGCAATGGCGTGGGGGGTGAAAATTGGGTTTGCGGGGAGGCCTGAGCTTCAGGTGTTGGCGGAGCGGCCGCGGGAGCGGCGCTTTGGACCTGCATGGGAACAGGAACCGAGCTGGGGCTTAAACTCTGGGATGGGCTCGGAACGTGCATGGGGGCGGGCAGAGGGGCCGACATCTGCGTTTGGGCCAAGGCCGAGGGAGTTGTCTGCACTTGTGCGGGGATTCTCACTGGAGCTGGAGTTGATGGCTGAGTTTGGGGGACAGTTATGGGATTCGGAGGGGGAGAGGCAGTGGGAGCTGAGGTGGCAGCTGAGGAGGATGGAAGAACAGGAGTGAAGAGGAAGCGCTGGACCTGGCCGTTGGGCATGGCTGCCTGCATTAGTTGCTGACCGGGACCAGGGATGACCGTAACCCCCTGTGGGATGATTTGAAGCTGGCCCTGGGTCTGGCCTTGACCCTGGATCACCACTGTCAGACCTGGGTTCCCTCCCTACAGAATGTTAAACAAAAAAATTATGTGACATCGACGAAAACAGACTCCAAACAAACAAGAAGACTAAGTGAATATAGTAACTAAACAGTACCAGAAGGGATGACTAGATTCAGGAAAAAAGAGCGAAAACTAAACTACTACTTTTAGGCAGGAAAGCAATGGTAAGAGCCTTTCCCACCTGTGCGCTTTGTGTCAGCTGCATGAGCTGGGCCATGGTGAGTTTTACTTGACCCTGCTGTGGCCTTTGGGGCTGAGATGAAGCAGGAGACTGCCCGGGGGCGGTGCTGGCAGCACATGGGGACGACGCTGCACCCGCAGTGGAGGGAGAACCGGAGACGGCTCCAGTGCTTCCCATTTGTGCCAGCTGGGGCTGACCTGGAACGAAGAAATATTTATTTTAGATTCTACTCCTGTAAGGAGAAAAAAAATTAACTAAATGCATGTAGTTTGGAGTAAAGATCAAAAGCTGGACGGAACACCTTGTGGAACCACTGGACTTCTGACCATGGTGCCCACAGAGGTAGATGGGGTAAGTGCCTGGTTTCCTGCAATGCCAGGCTGCGTTTTGCTCCCTGCTGTGGTCACCTAGGAAACAAAAACAGCGAAAGCGTGAGTTGTGGTGCTCAGTGTTTCTACACGGTTTCAGTGGGACCGAAAAGGACGTCTAAAGACCTGCTGCTGAGTGGTGGAGGCCGAGTTCGCAGCTCGGAGGTTGATGTTGCCAGTGGTGGGGTGTAGTGTGCTGTATGTTCTCAAGTTTGCGGGAGGCCCAGAGGGGAAAATGCCCAGCACTTTCTGCTGAACTACACCTGCCAATGAAAAGGCACCATTAGGGAGGGAGGCAAAAAAAGAAGCAGACGAGTGGTCAGAAAGGTCAGGGATGTAAAAGCAAAGCGTGCGCTGGGATTGTGTTTGTGTGTTTCTAAAAACAAAAACAAACATCTGTCCTTGTCCAGTTGAAAAAAAAAGAAAGACAAATTAATTCAAGATCTTGTCATTCTTTAACAACGGTTGTACCGAAAAGCCACAAAAACATCAAGTTGCACCATCGGCCACAGGTGGAATCCTCCATACTCGGGGTCAACACTTCATGAAAAGGCAGACTTGTGCCCTGTCTCCGATCCATTCTTTTTTTTTTTCCTGGTCCGTCGTGAGTTTAAGCTTCGCCAAAATGGATGACGCACATGCTTGCCCCTACCTCCTTGACCGGAAGGCATGTTGAGCGTGACAATCTTGCCGTTAGCGGGAAGTGGAAGTTTGGAGGCGAGGACCTGGCCAGCCACAGTCACTGGGCTGCCAGTGATCTGGAAGGTTTGCTCTGAGGTGGTGATGCTGCCAGCCACGGTGGCCATCGAGCCAGTGGAGGCTGCAAGACACACCATGCCACCTACGGTCATGTGCATCCCCCCCGAAAAAAGTCATATAGGCCACCACAACAGCCAGTGTAAGGCTGTAGTGTCCACTTCAAGGCTCAAGTCAACAGGAGGTTTGCATAAATATATATATATATCTATATCTAAATAAATGTACTCTCCTGTGTAAAATATACAAAAATACGTTGTAGAATCTAATATCTCCTCATAGATCTGAGGTATTTTATCTTAAGTGGACACCACAAGCCATAAAATGATTCTCCAACGCCACTAATTTTGACTGAGATGAAAAAGGTATAAAAATGAAAAAAGAATAAAGTTTTTAAAAAAAGATGTCGATGCATGGCGATCCAATGCTGTGAATGGATGAAAACCGATGCCAAACCCTGGTGTTTGTGCCCTTTATCTCCTAACAGGTGATGGTGGATGAAAATGGGACGCCTGCTTACCAGAATTGCTGCTGCTGCTGTTGTTGTTGTTGTTTTGACCCTGTTTCACCCAAGAAGCAAAAGACTGCTGGAAGTTCTTGTCTTGCTGGAACTGAACCGGGGAGCCCAGTTTGGAGGCCAGCACCATCTTGGCGCCCGGCGTCACTTGACCCGTCCTCTGGCCGGTAGGAGCTGGGGTGATGGGAGTGACGGCTGTGGAGGTGGTCGTTGTGGAAGTGGTGGTAGTAGCGCCTAGTCTCTGCTGCTCGAGACGTTTCTGAAAACAAACAAGAGAGGGCATGCAAAGTTTCCTCCATGCTTTTTAAAGATTCGATGTGAGCCCAAAAGATACCACATGCGTGTGCCTGGTTCTCACCTGCTGAGCGGCCAGTCTGGCCTGCTTCAGCTGATTCTCCAAATGGGCTTTCACCTCTTCTGCTGTCCTCAGAGTAGTGCTGCTCTTGGAGGGATCTATGCCCTGTGACCTCTCCCTCTCCACTCTGGGGAGAAGGTGGAACAAAGTGTTAAGATAAGAGCTGGATAAGCAGTCCTTCCCCAGACTATTAGAGATGAAAAACGTGTTGCCCACTTCTCTGCAAAAGCTCTGATCTCCCACAGCTCCAGGTCTTCTTCGGCCACCCAGGTCTCTACAGCTACAGGTCCAGTCAGCTTGGCCGGTTCCTGCTTCTTTGGCCTCAGGGCACTTGAGCGCAGACCTTTCCTCTGTGGAGTGGGGGTTTCTGCTTTAAAAAAGTAAAAAAGATATGTTTAAAGAAATAAAATAAAATAAATCAAAACAGGGCAGAATCTTGATACTTCTTCAAATGTGCAGTCTTCAATGTAACGTTGATCCCCAACAAGCTCTTACCTTTGGGAGTGTCTCTGTTTCCGAGCGGACAGATGATCTTCCTGATGCAGTACTCTGAGAAGATGCCATAGGGCCCCACATCTCTTCGTTTTATGATCTCTGTTGTGATGATGTCGGTGTCTGTGGTTTCTGCAGTGGGTGTCAAGCACAGGCGTGAATTCCCAGTTAGCCGGTGTATGCTAATCTGATGCCTGAAGCCAGCAGTTGACAAATGAGGTGGATTTTTCTCACCTTTCCGAGTTGTCCCTACAGCCGCGGAGGGTTTCACGGCCATGTCGTCCCACCTCAGGCAGGCCCACAGCAGCCTCAGCATCAAGCTGACCCCGGCTAATGACCTCACTGTCTGCAGACGGTACCTGGAGAGTCAAGAGAGCCACCAGCATGGAATGTCAACAATATATACAGCACTTATGTCTATTCGGATCACTATGTAGTAGTTTGCTAGTCTATAATAGTTTATACAGAGTCTAAGTGATAGAAAACACAGCATGAGATGTCTAAATGCGTTACAGACCTCCATGTGATGCTGAATGTGGGCCGAGGTGAAGGGTAAGGCCATATATCCAGGGCCGGTTTGGCGCTGTAGTTGAAAATTAGGACCTCTCTGATGCCCGCCTTCCTCGCCAGCCTCTTCAGGTCGTCATTTGGCAGGACGAAGATGCTCTTCTTGCTGCTTTTGGTGACAAATTTGCGGTAGGACGGGAGGGCCGTGCCCGAGCGCGACTTCTTGGACTTGGAAAATCTGAGAAGGCTGACTCTGTCTCTGGTGGTGTACTCTTTGCTAATGGTCATAGAGCCGGCCGGCGTGGCGGCGGAGGAGCCCGTCCTGCTGTCGGCGGGTTTCTTCTTCGGGGGGACGGCCGTTCCTGAGCTCGGCTGGGTGGAAGCGGTGAGGGACGGGACTGCCTGAGGCGCTATCTCAGGCTTGTTACTGCTGTTGGATGCGTTGTGAAGCGGGGGATTCGGACATTCCTTCAAGGGGGTATTAGTGACAGAGGTCTTTGACCCCTCACTAACAGAGCAGCTATCTGTATTGTTACTATTAGGGCAGAAAGGGCTTGACAATTCAGTTTTTGGAGACGCAATCTCACTCTCGCTCTTCACAGCTGCAGAGTTTCCTTTCTCCTCCACGTGGTTCTCTAATTTTGGGACTTTGAGGGGAGGCGGGTGACTTATGTTGGACATGTCGTTTTGCGAGAGGTTCCCGTTCATCAGAGACCTTAGGGGCTCTTTCTGAGGCTCCTTCTTATCACCTTCGATTTCAGGGTTGGTGTCAGAGCTGATGTTTTTCCCATTTACCTGCGATACGCTGGTCTTGCTTTGGGTTCCCTCCGCCTTTTCTGCGTCGGTCTGGCCGCTGCTTTGCTCCATTTCCTCATAGCCGCGTTTCTTTGGGTTCTCTCCCACTCGGACGTCCTCGGGCTTTTGGGATCTCTCGCTGTTTTCCATCATCCCGGGTATACAGTTGCTTTCCCGATGGGGTTCGGGTGCTCCATTCACTTCTTTGTGAGTGCAGGCTTCCCCTTCGCTCCCATGCAGGTCATTCAGCTCAGCCGCATTGCTGTTGCTAGGTGCTGCAGCATCCGATCTGACGGCCGTGTTGTCGGTTTTTGCGCCCTCCTGCTCAAAGTCCAGCTTTTTGACCACCTGGTCTTTGCCTTGGGGGCTCTCCTCCTCCTCCGCTTTAACAGTCGGGGTCAGAGCAAGCTGCCTGCTCAGTGCTGACCCTTCGGTCTTAACCACCGCTGTGGGTTTGGCAGAAGCAGCTTTGGATGTTAGGGCCGCCTGTCTCATCCGTTCCAGTCGCTGCTTCTCCTCTAAGGTGAACTGTTTGACCCGGCGCTCCAGGAGTCCGTCCAGCTTGGACGGCTTCACCTTCTTCTTGTAAGCCGTCCGCAGCTGGAAGCCTTCGCTGACATTCACAACGTCGGCGAAGATTTTGGACATGGAGCTCCTGTCCGTCTCGGGCTGCTCAGATAGATGGGTCGCTTTTTCTTCAACAGCTGAGAAAGGACGTTGGGTTTCATCTTCATCTAAGACAACGACAGGTTGCAGTGTTAGATCAAAACAGAAACTTGTACGCAAATATCCCAACGGAGAGGGTTAAAATAACCTAAATGGGGGCATTTACCTTTACAGTCACTAGGAGAACTTTTCGGGCAGGTATCGACCTCCATTTTCTCATCTTCTTCCTTCTCTTCAGCTTTTGCTTCCTGCTCCGTATTCGCAGCTTTTTCCTCCTCTGCTGTGGTTCGAGGTTTGCCATCATCTGCCGAGGAAGTGCTCTGGGGCGATTTGGGGACGGAGGCTTGCTCCTTCGGCTCATCGTCCAACCGTTTCTGTGCATCTGCGCCGGCGGCTGCGTTTTCCTTTTTCAGTTTAGCTGCTTGATGGAAAGACAAAAAGAAAAGATGATGCAAATGAACATGAAGTCTGGAGGAAAAGAATTCAACACCTTCAGGAAGCTAAATTGGCTTAACCCTCACCCTCCAGGTCTTTGCGGTAGTTGGCGTTTGTGTTTCCTGGGAGCCTCGGAACAAAACGCGGCACACGCGTTTTACTGACCCAGCTCCAGCCGCCATATCCCGTGACTCTGTACTCCTCCCCCTTTTGCTTCCACACCTCGAGGGACAAAACGGGGACGTCAGACACGGTGGGTGTGCAGCTGATATTGAACTACTAAAAATGAGGAGGCAGGACTCGTTTGTACCTGGTGTTTGATGGGGATGGTGTACTTCACCCAGGTGGCCTGCTGCAACGTCTCCTCGTCCTCGAGCTTTTTCTCTTTCTTCTTCACCTTTTCCTTCTCTTCACGCTCAATGGAGGTCATGCGGTGCAACCTGAAGCGGGACGTAAATAAATAAAGGACTTGAATGAGCGTGGACAGCGTTTCTGCCAGCGCACCTCTCTCTGAAAGCATTCTGGAGGGCAGGCTGTTGGTGTCCTCTTACCTGGTGTGTCCCAGAGAATCTTTCCACACAGGCAGCATCACCACTGGCTTGATGGCACACTCCAGTATGGCCAAGGCCAGCGCAAATTCCCTGGCCTTGCTGCACATATGCACCGCTTTGTTCCAGTTGGTTCTGTGAAATGAAAACGTATCAAGTTCCACGCTTAGGGTTTTCTTCTTACCACTTAATAATGGTACAGTGAATCTGTGTTTATCGTAATTAATTTATTCTTGCTGTTTATGGATTCCCCATCCATCCCCTGACGTTTGTTGCGTTAACACTGTGGGGTTTTTTCATGAACACCAGCCTGAGACGCACCTGTGCGACGCCCAGTTGGGGTGCATGAAGGGGCCGGGGACGTTGGTTTCCAGCTGGATGATGGTCAGGCGCAGCGTGGAGACGGTCAGGCTGCGGGACCCGTAAATGGAGCCGTTCCACTTGAACTCGGACGCCGTGGTCAGGCTGAACTTGTGGGAGAGGTGGCGCCGCTTGTCGTGGTCCTCCCGGTGCTGGTGCTTGTTGAGCGCCAGCGTGTTGGTGCTGTACTGGTTGTGGTAGACCCTGTATTTCCCCTCCTGGCCAAGTTTGAATAGGTTGTTCATGTTGACCGTCAGCTCCCTTTTTAGGTAGCTTAGGCGTGAAGAATCCCCGTCGGAGAACGCGGGAGAGGACTTTGAGACAGGAGCAGACATGTATAGCAGCTTTACAAAGATACCTTTAGATCCCCGTTTTTCTACATGAAGATTAAATAAGAGTAAACTCTGATCAAACCAAAGATTCCTCACCTCTTGGTTCTTTGATTCTTCACCTGCAGTCGTTTCCTGGTTGGTCCTCTCAGAGCATTCCTCTGTCATTTGGAAAGCACAGGGCACCATCAGCACGGGAGCAACGGCAATTTAACACAACTCTGCTCCTCCGCAAGTCAAACTGCACTTCTCAGAGAAGCTGACCGTCACCTGCTCCATCGTGGCTGGTAAAAGAGGACCGGGAGGACCTGTCGGCCAGGTCAGGCTGCCATTTCTTCTGGCTCTCGGGTCCGGAAACATGGCTGCCGTCGCCAGCCGCCGCTGAGTGAGGCTCGGCCCGGTCTGCCGGCGGTGCCTGTGAGTCATCGTGGCGTGCAGCTCCACCGTCGCACTCGGATTTCTGGTCCTCGTCTAAATAGAAAATACAAAACATGTGCTCGGTAAAAGCAAAAACAAAACACTAAACTTTACGAGGAGAGAGTGGAAGTTATTGGCTGCAGTGAAGTAGATAAGAATGTTTCAGACTGCTGCGCACAAAGCTGAGATAAACTAATGTTCAACGTGGCTCCTCTGCTTTAGCAATAGGAATAAACTATCCAAGAGCATAATAAAAAAGGACAAAATAATAAAATGTTTGGTGGCTGAGTCTGTGTTTTATCAGCCCAGCTAGGCCCATAAAAGCCAAACCCACGTCAGTCAAGCAAAGGAACCCAAACAAGCTGTCCATCTGCTGCGCATTCCTGCCTAACACTCCAGCTCTGCCTTTGAGCTGACGGCAGACATATATGCAGCTCTTTGTTGGCGAGACGGCAGGTGGGGTTTCCAGGCAGAGAGCCCTTTGTTTGAGCAACAGGAGCCTGACCAAAGAAGAAGGAGGGTAAAAAAGGAATAGGAATAAGGGGCTGTTTGTGGCAGACGTGGCGTGGTAACTGCTGCCAGGGACACCATCCCAAGCCCTGTAAAAAGCTCTTTTTCCCCCCCCGACAAGATATGAGACAAGGGGGAAAGAAATTAATGGCAGACTTTGTCGTAAATACCGAGTGCATCACCTTTAGCTCGTGATGAAAGAAAACAGCCTGAAGCAGCTCAAGGAAAGTTGATAAACGGAGGAAATATTTTTTATTAAGTAGATTGTTGCTAATGAAGTCGCTCTGACCGGAAAAGCCTAAAGACACTATTGTGTTAAAAGGCAGTTAATAGGGGAAGAAAACAGAGGAGACAAGAGTAAAAATTACCTTAAAGCTGTCCACTAGAAATATACATTTACAATGGCATGTCCAGAAAGAGAACAATTTCTTCTGTGTGAACAAACGCAGGATTTTTGTCGTCACCTCCCCACAAAAAAAACTAAACCAAAGACAGGATTGTTTTATCCTGGTTGTGCCAACTACAAAAGATCAAATGTTCCCTCTATCTTTACTAACCCCACCCTTCAGGAATTCACTTGCGACTGGACATAACTTGAAGTTGGTGGCGGTTTAATATGGCAGTGGAATATTGTTGGACAGGATGTACGAGTGCTTTGCAGAATATGTGTGAAGTGCTTTAGAAATTAAGAAGAGCAATTGTTCCAAAACACTGTGTGCATCCAGATATATCGTGATGGGCATTTTTGAGTGTAAACATTCTCCATAGCATAACAGTGCTGTTGACTTGAGACAAGCTTGGCAAGGATGGAAAGGAATTGAACATGTGAAAAGAAAATATACGAGACACAAAGAGTATGGCGAGGTTGGGAACATAAAGACAGCGAAGTGAAAATAAGAGATGCGCAGCCAAGCGGAGCATGACGAGGAGCATGACGCGGTCACTGACTCGGAGAGTACCTGTCCTTCCCTGCTGTGCCCCTGGAGGAGATTCCCTGCTCTCCGGGCTCTCAGAGGGAGCAGCCTGCGTTTCATTTGCCGGTTCAAGTGACTCCGTCTTAGGTCCAGCTGCGTCCTGGCTGGCGGGGTTGTCCGATGCCGGTCCCTCCCCTGCAGCAGGGTGGACGGCACCGCCAGTCAGGACAGTTTGATTTTTTTTTTGTATTTAGAATGCCCAATATATGACATGTTCGGCATCCTGGCGTGTGGGTAATCGCTAGAGACGGCTCTGAGGAATTTACGAGTGAGAGCCGACAAAAAAGAAAAGACCCTTTCTTCGCATTCTTACCTCGCGAGCCAGCGCTTTCCACCGCTTGGGCATCTTTGTCCTCGGCCTGCGAAGAGAGCTCAACATTGTCCTCAGCTGGATTGGCAGAGCTCCCTCCTGCCTCCTCGACACGCCTCTGTGCTTCCTGCTCCCCTCGCCTGACCTTCAACCGCTCCGTGACCACATCTAAAACCGCAAAAGGCACAGAATTTAAAACTCAAAAGCCAACAATGACATCAGTCACATCTAAAAAAAAGTTTTTTTAAACATACGGTTGCTGGTTTAGCTATCTAAGAAGCACAACAAAGCGTGTTTGGGAGAAATCCAGCTTCTTGGGGGTTACAGTGGGGCTGAACACAGACCATCACAGTCTGGTTGCGATGCAGGGAGTGAGTGCGAGATAAAGGTGATCGACTTTCACAACGGCGTGCACGTCAGAGGAGAGAGCGGCAAAGGCTTCCGAGTTACAAGCCGTCTAATTTCTCCACAAAATAACAAAAAACAAACAGCGAAAAAAAGGTGAGAAACAAGCCCATCAGTAGCGGAAAAAGGGCCAGATCTTCTGATCATTCCAATTAATGTAGAATCCCTCTCTGTAAAGAGGTTACAAAAGAGAACTATCTTTAACTCTTTCAAGTAGGATAAGTCGGAGTTCCCCGTTTACACGACCACCAATCAAAAAAGTTTCCTTTGGTGGCCAGATAACAGACCCAGGAATATCGTGTTGATGCACCAGAACTGCAGCTCTGTTTAAGAAAAACTAGCGGTGGCAGTAAATCCTCTATTCACGGCAGCAGCTTTCGAAGGATAAAATCCTCTAACGCGCTCCCATTCGAACCTCCCGCTTCTCACCCAGCGCCGGAGGCGTGTGCATGTGAAGTAAAACCAACACCTTGAGAATCGAGATTAGGCAGTCCGGTGGCACAGAGAGGAAGTCTGATGCAAGCGCCGACAGATAAATCAGCCCGACAAATGGCGACGGAAACCGCTCTCTCAGAACTCTAAACTCTAATCCCTTCGGTTCCTTGGAGGAAACGCAGGGGGTTTGGGGTGAGTGTGGGGGACACGGGGGCAGGGGGGGGGAAAAGGCAACTGCCAACTGACATCTATACAAAGCACATACGCAGGAGGATCAGAGCAAAAACAAACAAAAAACAAATGTGGCGTTATCTGCGGCTTACAGAAAAAAAAGCTTCGGAAAAAAAACCCTGGAATGACACAAACGCCACACGCTTCGCACAAGTCAGCGCACTGCACCCGCCCTCACCATTGACGGCTGTGAGGTAGGCTTTGCTGTTTCCGCGAGCTTTGCTGGTCAGGTCCTCTGTGATGTCCATGTGCCCTTGCACCTCCTCCCTCATCTCCTCCAGGGTGGCGTGGAGGTCCGTTTCCCAGTATTCCTTATCCAGGGAGTCGATGAGCTCCTCCAGCTGTGCCTTGGTGCTGTAGTACCAAATCTTTTTCTTCTCGTGCTCCCCGTCCTCCTCGCTGGGGAAGAGAGAAAAGGGATATTAGATGTGCATGAGACAGCATGCTAACCCCCTCTCCTAAAGTCATTGCTAAACAATGGAAGAAAACTGCTCGTCTACACTGTAATCTTTTGTCTGGGTCCCTCCGATGTGAATAAGGGGGAATGATGAAGACCCTGTAGGATACTGTTTCACAGTAGGAGGATGTCCACCTGCTGTGAAACACATGACATCATTCAGGGACGAGGAGGCACTCCGGAAGCGCACAGCTGCCAAGGAAAATAAAGAGCCTGGACAACAGATATCTTTCACGCTCTCAACACAACCAAATTACTCCAATTCATAGAGGCCAGTCGGATTGACATCCTTATTAAGTCTATACTTCACATGTCGGCCGTTTCACACATAACAGAAAAAAGTAACAACAAAAAAAACGCAAAAAGCTTTTTACACAGCTGACCTTGTCAGCACGTTCTTTTGTTTTTGCCTTTCAAAGCTGTTTTTTTCCATAAGGCTCACTTAAGACCTAAACACGCCGCCTCTGAGGTTCAACTCTTTTTTTATGTCAATGGCGTCCTATATGCCAAGGTGAGTTTTGGTGAAAAAAGTGACGTGTCAGAAACAAAGAGCCCGACAACGGCGTACACGTGTATTCCAAATGAAGCCAGAGGGGGTCCTAACTTACACAATAATCCTTCGAATGAGGAACCAGTATTTCCTCTGGTGGCGATCGTATCCGATGGGCTCCTGGCGAATGTAGGGCCTGATTTTCTGCGCCTCCGTCACGCAGTCCGTGACCCCGGGCACCTTATGAGCCACGCAGATCTCGCACTGCCACTCGTCCTCCGGCACCTCTTCCAACGGGGGCTTCACGCACTCCAGGTGGTACACGGCCGAGCACGTCTCGCAGCACAGCAGGTCGCCCAGGCGGTGGCACACGCGGCAGTGGTCGTCGTACTGCATGCTGCCGTCGGACATCAGCTCCTCGCGGGCGATGTTGGTGGTGAGGAACTGGTCCACCAGGAACTGCAGCACCTTGATCTTGCTCTCGAGCGGACCGAAGGGGTACTCGTCCACCTCCAGGTAGGGCAAGACGTGGTGGTACTCCCTGTCGCTCTCGCAGTACGACCGCAGGACCTCGGGCCACGTCATGCCATCGATAAAGTACAGGGTGGAGTTGACGCTGTCTTTGAGGTCGGCCGGGCCGAAGGTGGTGTTGGAGGAGTCCTCCTCCCGCAGAATGGCCTTCAGCAGGGATATGTGCGTCTCTGCTATCAGCGTGCATTGCTCCTGGCCCGCCAGCGCCGCACAGAAGTCCTCGAAGCGGAAGGGGGAGAGACGCAGCACCGTGCTAAAGTTCTGTATGACCTCATAGACCGACGCGGCGTTGAGCAGCTCCACGCCGGGCACCAAGAGATCCTCAGAGGTGTCCGGGAGCTGTAGAGGAGGTATGTTCTTTTCCTCGAGGATTGGAGTCCGAGGTCGGGGAGCCCGCACTTTTTTCCTTCCTGTGAGATATCAAAAGAAAGAGCATTTTTAAATGCAAATGACTCTAACCTCAGAACAAAGCTTATTATCATAATCAGGTGCAAATATACACGTGTTGCAGTGTGTCCATAGTTTAAGAGTTTCATTCAGTTCAATACATGTAAATATTACATTAGCAAGTTAAACGTAGTTATCTTAAATTATTAGTGGGTGATTAACTTAGTACATATTTCTGTTATTTAAAAAAAGGGCATATAAAAAGGGTTTTCGGGTTACCAAGTGACTCAAAGAAGCAAACTTCAGGATGAGCTACCTCAACTTAACTCCCTCAACACATGGCTAATGTCATCATTAGCTAATTGAGACAGCTCAGGTCTCAATGCGTGCAGGAAAACATTGACCATAAAGTTGGATTACGACTTTAACACTGGTCAGCATTCCCAAATGCAACCACTTTTTGCACTGCACATGCATGAGAGCTCTTGTTTCTCAAGTGTCCAGACGTGTAAACCGAGCCTATGTTGACTATGCGAAAGCTTAAAGTGTCAAAAAATGTGCATGCTAGGCGAGCTAACGCGAGTAGCTGCGCGACCACACGAGTTTAATAAAAAAAAAAAAGCTAAAGCAGAGGCTATTTTTTCTTGTTTCCACGAAGAGCTGGCAATATTTCTAATAACAAACAAAGAAGCAGTTGCAGTATTTTGTCAACAACCAAATGCCAACAGCGGGCAGCCCTCTGCTAATGTTGCTGGCTAATGTTAGCATGCTACAAGCTAAGTTATTTACACTAAGATGTGATACTTCACAGTAAGTGGCCTCCACGGTATTTTTAAACAATACGTGGGAACACTTGGGCGACGTATGGTCATGGCAACAAGTCGCCCGCTCCAGTCCACCTGCAGTAGCTTTCTTTGATGGGACTGAGGCCTAATTTCATACAGTGTGCATTCTCCATTTTGAACAATAACCTTATTGCTTCCTGCACCACTGGGAAAGCAGTGAAATATCAGCTGTCAAACCAGGGCAGTGCACGCGGACAAAAATCGCCCAGGGGCCACGGGGTCTGTTTACCGGGGGTGCTGGCATGCGTGCTGTGACTCCGAAAGCTACTCTCGGTGCAGTAGCTGGCATCATCCTCTTCCTCGTCCAGGACATCATCTTCCAGGCAGTCGGAGTCCTCCTTGAGGGCCTCGTCCTCCTCGGACTGAGGTTCCTCCTCAACAAACTCGTCCTCCTCCGACCTCAGGCTGACGGCGTCGTCGTCTTCCTCGCTCTCGTGGTCGTCGTAGACCACCGTTTTGGAGGCAGCCGTCCGCCTTCCTCCCCGACCACCTCTCCCTCCTCTGCCGCCACCACCGCCGCCTCTACCACGTCCCCTTCCCCGTGTTGACGTTACGGGTCCCCCTTTCCTCTTTCTGCTCGGCTTGGGGGTCTCCCTGGTGGGGCTGTCGGCGTCCTCGTCCCCGCTATCTCTGAACCGCGGTTTCAAATTCCTCCTGGGTCTCAAGCCCCGGGTCGAAGCCGGGGACGGCTCCTCGGTGTGCAGCGGTTTGGGCGGCCTGCCCCTTTTCCCTCTCATGATAGGCGAAATCTTTTTATTTTGCGGTGCCAATTTTTGCGGGTATTTGGCACACGCGGAGGCGAGCGAAAACTATACCGACGCGAAGCCGAGCCGGCGAAGATTCCAACGGTGCAGAAAGCCCGTGAAGACCCCGTGCCTTTTCCGGAGCAAATGCTCAAAACGTTTGCCCGGCGTCCCGTTCGGGTTCGCCTTGAGCCGCCATTTTTCTTCTCTGCCTCCCTGGCTGAACAAACAGCAGGCCTCCGCCAGGAGTCACGTGGTGACACTGCTTCCAGGTCTGTGGCAACAATGACTGATAAAACAATTGCCACAAGATATTCCCATCTTTCAAGTCACACGGCCGTTTTCGTTCAATTAATGGTTTGAATTCAAGGTCTATTTATTTCGCTTTCTATCCGTGTTACATTCCTGGAGCTCATAGCGGTTTCTTAGTTTTGTTTTGATTGGTTAAAGCAAACACCAAAGGTTTGGGTTAAAAAAAAGAAAAGATTATGGCATAATGTGCTACCGAAATAAAAACATTCCTATGGGCATATCAATACAGCGCATGAAACGTCAAGATTAGCTGTCAGGCGGATAATTAGCTTCTTGGAGTGCGTTTATTGGATTACTTCTTCAAAGGCACACATGATTACATAACTTTTGAATGATTAATTCATTAAACATTGTAAGTCATTTTCTAGGATAGGTGCACCTAATTAGGTATTCAATCCAAGCAGCGCCGAAAAATAGTAAGAAATAATACCAATGGATCTGCGGAAATGTATATTTTATATGAGGTTAGATACTGAAATCGAGTTTTCCTCCTGTTTAACAACTGGTAACGTATAGAAACTATACTAGAATATTAATACATATAAATATAAATATAAAAATGTAATGTAAATATAAGAAATATGCAAAGAATGAACACGGATTTCGCCATAGGTAGAAAAACTCTGTGACGTCACCGTATATATGCAAGTTGTCGTGGCCGAGTGGTTAAGGCGATGGACTAGAAATCCATTGGGGTCTCCCCGCGCAGGTTCGAATCCTGCCGACAACGAACTTTTCTTTTTTCTTTTCGGGTCTCACAATACGGGTTCGAATCCTACCGGCAACTATACTTTACTGATCTTTTGGACACCGATTATCTTTTAGGACACTGGCAAAATGTTAATTTGGTGGTAATTTGCATTTTAACAATAACACAGACACAATGGAAGCGTTTAGATACTCGGCAAGTAGCGGGTTCAATTCACTGTAAAAACACGGAACTTGGTTTATGAAAGTTAAAAAAACACAAAAAATCAGTGATGTTAATTGTAAAGTGCAAACAAAAATATTTTCTTAACTCCAACGATATATTGTATGTGTTAAATGACAGAATCCACGTGAGCCCATGCAGTGGATGAAGCAGACACTAGGTGGCAGTGTTGTCCTAAACATGGCAAAAAAAGCGCTTCTCTCGATTCACCGTGTGGATGAGACAACCATCCAACAAACAATTTAGCATAGTCATGTAAAAAGTTTCTGTTCTTTTCTTGACCTGTCTAAGAGGAAAACTATTATTTCCAGTGACTGCAAACTCTTTTGGGAGCGGGCAGGAAAACCGTCAGTGGATAAATCGCGGTGGCAGCGTTGTAGTCAAACCAAGTGCAGTTTGTGATACACGCTATTTGCATGAAGAGTGCTTTAACGTGATACACTTCACTACGTCCCCGCGGAGTATTGGAGATAACTGTGCCGGGCGTAGGAGAGTTAAAGGCCCTAAACTCCAACCTTTGGACCCGCGCTCCGCCACCTGAAATGACCCTGAACGCATCATCACCTGTGCGCGTCGGCGCTCGTTTCGTCCTCCCGGTCCGCCGCCGGGGAGTGGAGTGAAGTGGAGGGGAAAGTAGCAACCTTTGCGTGCCAGATAAATGCACCCGGGTGAAACAAGTCATCTGATAACTTTCTTGCGTATCAGAGTCCCACACAGAGACACCTATTGTCTGCTCGGGGTCGAGATTTCGCTTCAACCCCGGTGGCGGACAGTAAACAAGGAAAGAAGTACCCCACGCAGTTTTAATGCCTCTCAACTGGACAAACAACTTGATATTGGTTGACAACAGTAAATAATCAAACGATGGATTAAAACAAAACGAACATAAGTCCCGTCTCACACTTCTGAATGTTGCTGTTCTGCATCCTTCACTTTTTCTGTTTTCTTGTAGGCCAATCTTTCCAGGATTTCATCTCCATTTCCCTCCAACTATCAAAGCAACCACTCTCTCTCCTGGATGATGGGAGCATCCTGGGGGACTGTCCGGGTGGGGTTGTTTGGGGGCTGACCCGGCCCTAGCACGTCCCTCTGCGGCCCTGACCCCTTTAAGCGGCCCGTGGCCTTTGCGGGTCGTCGGAGTGATGATAACCCGTAATGCAGAGCAAACAGGATCATTCTAATCCCCACCGCCATACAGCAAACGCATCGCCTTTGGTCGCATCCAGACGCACTCTAATGTAAGCATTAGAACACGCCAAAGCACCGGGATGAAGGGCAGAATTCCGGAAACCGAAGCCGTGCGGCGACGGGCCCAAACAGGGCCCGGTTCACACACAGAATATAATCTCCTCAGATTGGATCATTTTAAAACGTCTCTACGCTGATCGGTGCACAGAAAGAGCTTTTAGAGCTCACATTATGGTGCCTGACTTCTTTATGGCTCTGACATATGGCAAAGAGCCTCATGAGGCACAAAAAAAAAAGAAAAAAACCCAGGCAGAGGCCCATTGCTGCATGTGGAGTTATATATAGTTTTATTTATAGTGAAGAAGACCAGGCCCACTTTAGGTGGAGAGCACAGTTTGACAGATTCATACCATGAGAGACTCCGTTTCTGGAAAACGTCAGAGGTGCACAGAGGCAGATGTGCACAGATGTGCAGGACACCCGCTTTCGCCACACACTTGAGTGATTCCAGATGAGAGACGACAGCGACATAGATGGGGCAGTTACTGACCGCTCGAGGCGGCCTGCGACAGAAAAAGAAGAAAAAAAGAAGAAGGGTGGGCAGATTGGAGAGAGGAGCTTAAGTGGTGCTCTGAGCGCTTAAAAAAAAAAAAAAAAGAAAAAGGAAGGAGTCTAAATGTGGAGCAGACTGTGCAGCAGACCGTAACTGACGCGCTGCTGAACATCACAGTGGATCCGCAGCTCCCACCGCCCAAGACCAACAGGAAAGTGGCTTTGTTTGGGGTTTTTTTAATTGATCCGACCCATGGGAGCGAATGAGGCCTTCCCTGTGACCGCCAGTGGCCATTCTGACTGACCGTCTGAGGAGAAACGCCCCCCTTTGACTGGGCCGCTGCTCAAATCTGGGGTCAGGGTGATGAAGAAGTAACCCCCAAAATTTTCTTTGGGTTACAACCTTTGGATCTTTCTTGACCGAGGTACCTCAGAGGATGCCAGCCCTCCGAAGTCCAGTGAAGGCCTGAAAGTCCGAAACATGGCGGGCTGAAGGGGGGAGACTCGGGGAACGTAATGGAGACAGTGGAGGGTTGAAATGTCAGATCAGTCCACTCTATCGTTCGTTTGATCGACATCTCTTTCAACAGAAGCACATCTGAAAGTACCAACAATGCTTCAACGTTTTCATTTCCCTTCTGAGATCAATATATCACCATTGTAATATGATAGAAAACAATAAGTCAATTCTAATTGGGAGAAATTGTGAAGCCTGCCCCTCCCCCTCCCTCCAATTAAACCCCCTGAAATCACCACCGTGAGAATAACAGCTCGTAACTGATGATTACCAGCCTATGAAAAGCACTTAAAACAAGTTACAGAGGAAAGAAGTGCTTAAACACACACACACACACTTTCAATTAGGTAAAGATGAAAAACAGGCTTTTTTTTTTTCTTTTTAAAGCTTTCAGCTCATCAGCAGAATCTACAGCAACCCTGAATAAGAAAAGTATAAGAAAGATGAAATGGGTAGAGATGCAGCCATAAAAGAAAACAAACATTTTCTTGGCCATTTTAGCCAGAGATTGGCATTTGTATATAAAATCAACACAGGACAGACCCCAATCTTTTTTAATAATTGCAGTTTATTAATTGAAAACAAAACAAAATGCAAATAAAAAAAAGAGCAAAAACAAAAAAAACAGTATCATTAGGTAAGACAAGGCAAGAGACACTTAAATAAGAAAAGTTCCATGTTGGTGAGGGCAAACGGTGGCGTGGGTTGATGTAGGAGGAGGGGAAGGGTGAGTACTGTCGGGTTGGAGATTTTGGATTATGTACACTGTTGTTGTAGTTTTTCTTGTTTTTGTTTTTTCCACTGCAGGACAGGCAGCCCCCCCCCCCGTGCCCCCCGAAAAACAAGAAGGGGGGCTCCAAGTAGCAGGTCGGAGACACTGAAACACCATAGAAAGGCACTATCCAGAGAGAACAAGAAACAGAAAGAAAAAAAAAAGAAAAAAACACAAGACACACTGGACCTAACCTCCCCCTAAACAACAACAAAAAAAAAAGAAAAAAAAGGAAAGAAACACAACCTAAACGTTTGACATAAAAGAAAAAAAAAGTGCTTGATCACACGCCACGTGGGACAAAAAAAACAAAAAACAAAACAAAAAAACTTTACATCGTTTCAGCTGATCTGGTATTAAAAGACAATCTGTGTTTTCTGAACTCTGTGCCAGCTGCTGATCTGCACTGGTGATTAGGCGGTGATTATCCAAACTCGGCCCCCTCTGCTACGTGCAGGGATAACGAGGAGGAGAGCGTCTGCATGCATGTAATGAAGTGTGTCGGAATACGACTAAGAACTACACCTACGCTGCCCTACCCGTCTCTTTTGATTTATTTCTTTTTTGAATACTGACAACACTACTATTTCAGCATGTTTGTTTGTTTTTTTCTATCCCTTGCGGTTGGTTGTGGTTCAGTTCTCCCACCGTGCTTCCCTCATGTTTGTCTATAGATTCAGTCAGCTACATTCACTGCCCCCCCCCACCCCAAAACCCCAGCGGTGAAATTGGCTGCAATAAATACAACGGCTCTCCGGAACACGGGGGCTTCTCGCTGATGCAGAATTGGGCCTTTCTGCTGGTTAGGCGTTAGGGAATAGCGTCCTCAGAGAGCTGACTTTTGACCGGACTCGCGTTGGGAAACGGGCGAAACCTTTCTCGACAAAAAAAAAAAACGGGACCTGCAAGGCCTCGGACGCCGGACTGAAAATTCATCACATTCTAGAGCTACGAGGTCTTACCCAGACTAAGAGAAGATCGAACATAATTTACAAATGGAAAAC